TACTAGTTCTACCGCCTTCTACTCCACTACTTTTTTAGAATCCGCTCTGCTTGACACTACACGTCTCGCCTCACGCCTTCCGCAAATGAGCCTATACAAGTTTTCAATTCACCGTTTCTGCCCGGATTTCAGGCTGACGATCTATGATGCACTGTATCTGCACTTCCACAAACGATTGCCTTGCGCTTTTTCCAGGTAGTCTCCATTACTCGCTTATGCCAAAATGATGCTTTTCACTGTCTCTTTTCGCAAATGGCTGTTTCACCATAATTTATATTCGCAATCTTTGTAGGTAGCTGTACAACGCACTTCAACATTCTATTTATCTTGGACTTTATGTTTGGGTCAATCCCGGTGAGCCCGCAAAATTTTAGAAATTTATATATGATAAGTTTAAGTGTATTTATTCCGGCTTTCAAAGTATGTACTTGTTAATAACTTGTTCTCTTTTATTTTGCTCATTTCTTTGTGAACTCTACACAATTACTACTGCTACAATAATCGATGGTCTACAAAGTATCTAGCATTTTGAATGGCGATCTGACCATACGTTGCCAAATAGTTTACTTAAACCAATTCGAGATTGCCGCGATGAAAGCCCGCCTAGTTCAAATCCCACATTCGGCCATTCTGAATGTTCTTTCGCCTCCATTGAACCTGAAAACACCTTCATATACTCAGCAACGATAGATGCTCTAAGTTGACCCTCTGTATCACCTATACGTTCTACTTCAATAATGTAGTTGATAGACTCCTGTTTCCTTTTTAAATTAAACGCATTCCCTTTTTGTTCTATATCCGTTTGATGTTCTCTCGTGATGATTTCCGGTAGTTATCTTTTTCTTCATAGAGCTCTTTCTTTTTTTATGCGAGAGTGCCACGGCTACACCTCCCGCCCAACTGACCGAAGGGCACCGTGTATCGCACGGCTACATTCGCGATAAGATAGAAGTGACATAAGAACCAGCAATAGAACGATATGTAATGATGTGTCAAAATAAAGTTAGTATTGCTCCTGCAACAAGGCCTTTAATTTATTGCTGCCGGTCATCCGCATATCGAAAGTTAAAGCGGTGGGATCTTCGTGTTTCTTGGCTCAGTATTATTAATAATTTGCTGAAATCTTCTAACGCAATAGGGCTTTCATGGCTCAACTTTGCAAAAATTGGTACGACGATCTTGTGAATCCTTTCAACTTGATTTTCGAAATGTTCGGCTTACCTCTCCAGACACGGTAACACTACATCGATAACTGGGCTACAAGGTGGAGGACGGCCCAGATATATTTCGAATATATCCAACTGCTACAAAAAGGATGTGATTGCAGCACTTGGATGTCATCTCCATTCAACCGACTTATGATCGATGTGGTACGTAACGAATCAGCTTTGACAATTAAAGTTAGAAAGCCTGTTTAAGAATTTACGATAAGGCATCTGATGCAGCTCTTGACGATTCGCTCTGTTTTGTATTTTACCTTGTGAATAAAAATGATTTTTCGATGAGATCCTGTGTCTTCCTGGCAGGGAAATGTCCTTGATTGTGATTGATCTGAATTATCTCATTTTCCATAGCCGTAGGTACAAAACAAGTTCGCTATTGGGTCTTTGAAAAGAACGTCGTTTTTGAAGTAGAAGTCCTGGTATGTATCCTTTTCCTCAAGGATTCGAACTGCTTGGGTCCATTCGTCTTTGATCTGAGCATTAAGCAAGACAACATGTTATGTTAATGTTAATCAACATGTTTCATTTTTGTTCCGGAGCGACGTTCGATCATGTAGTTGAAGTCCGGCAAATACAATGTCCAGCGAGCTACTCGAAGAGGAACTTTCTTTTTGTTGATAGTCATTTTAAACGGTTTTTCTGAGGCTCCAAATTTATTTGCTTTTGCCAAAACCACAAAACTGTCAGGCCCACACATACTTTAAAATGTTGTTATTTTTTTATTTTATATATCCTCTAAATTTTTAAAAAACACTTTTTGTCACGCCCAAAACCACCCAAAACTGTCACGCCCACACTTTTAAAAAATTTTTTTATATATATTTTTTTTTATATATTTTCTAAAGTTCTATAGATCTGCCAAAAAACTTTTTGCCACGGCCACTTTAATGCCCCCAAACGTTCATTACCAAAACTGCCACGCTCACGCTTTTGAAAAATGTTCTAACATTTTTTCATTTTTATGTTAGTTTTTGTAAATTTCTATCAATTTGCCAAAAACTTTTTGCCATGCGCACTCCAACGCTCACAAACCGCCCAAGACTGGCACGCCCACACTTTTGAAAAACTTTGTGATACTTTTTCACTTTCAATAAATTTGTCAAAATACTCTAACGCCCACAAACAGCACAAAACTCTTACGCCCGCACCTCTAAAACATTTTTAAGTTTTTTTGCATTTGCGTTATCCGTAATAATGTTTGATGTTGTCGTTGTAAGCACATAACTGCACTGTGCGCCCGCTCTCTCCCTCACAAAATCTAACTGCACTCTAGCGGAACATTTAACAGCTCGCATGCAAGATTTGATTTTGTGTCTTTGCACAGTGGTCTAAATCAAAAAAAAAAACATGGAAACTAATGTTTTCTGCTTCCAAAACAAATGCCGTCAGGTAATAAAACCTGAGCACACAGCAATAACTTGTTGGCTGTATGATAAAATGGTGCTTACTAAGGGCGGAGTTTTTAGTGGCCGAACAAGTGATGACCTAGCTATGGGCCCAAATCTAAAATACTGTTAATACTTGCCTAGGGTTTGCGAACGAGATGAAAACGTTTATGCACCAAACTAAAGGTGGCTTGGAAGGACTGATCAGCAGTTTTGGCGTGGCTAAAGTTAGTTCTCGTCGATCTGATGATCTTCTTTTAGCACTGGATTCGCAGTTTAATAGCCTTAAGCTATTAGAGGAATCGCTGCCGAAATCCGCAGCTAAAAAAGATTCGGATCAATCCGATCAATCTTTTGTGGAGGGACTCAAATTTGGAATTGATGGAAATTCCGATTTGTCTGCACTGGTTTCTAGTTTACCACGACAAAGAAATATTGAAACAGAATCTGCAGTGCCAAAACCCCTAACGGTGTTTCCACTAAAGAAACAAATTTTCGTTTCTCGGCTTTCCCCTAATCAAACATCATCTGATGTAGCATCCTATATACAAACCAAAACAAGAGCCGATACGATAAAAGTGGACAAATTTAACTTTTCTAAATACATTTCATCTTTCAATATCCCTAATGAGCTATTTTTTACCATATGTTCTGGTGATTTGTGGCCGTATAGTATGGTGGGGAAAGAGTTCGAAGCTTAGACTAAAAATTGGCCCGTTGGAATTAAACTTCTCTCACGTGGCCAGACCACTGCCTCCTCTTTTACTTCTTCTTCTTCCTCTTCTTCTTCAAAAAACTAGTCTAGTCTCATAATCTCCTAATAAATATAAGACGCTTGCCTACCAAGCTTAATAAATTGTATTTTCATAGCTTTTTCTTTGCATCCCATATCATTGTGTTTACAGAGACATGTTAAAGCAAGAGATAAGATAAGTTTCCTAGGTATGTACACAATATACAGGCACTATCGTCTCTCCAGACGGGTAGGTGGAGTCTTAATTGCGGTTATGTCTACCGTCACGTCAGAGGAGGTATTTTTTTATGAGTCCTTAATGTATTCATATTCGTAGATCTGTAATTTTCCGATAGCTCTGTTTATATTATATTACGTAATGTTACGTTCCGTCGTCTTCTAAATTCCCAGAATATCGAAGAAGAATATCCCAGAAGCTGTCCGATAGGGACCAATTCGTATTTCTATGTGATTTTAATATACCTATAACTACGTGGTCCACAGAAAAAAGGCGAATATCATTCTCCCATAGCACAAGACGAGTTTAGTGACGGCTTGCTCGGCATGTCGCTTGTTGTCGCTAGTTAATTATATTCTAAACACTTTTGATCGATTTTTGGATCCAGAGTAGCACCTCTAACTGAACCTGAAGATCCATATCATCCAACTTTTGAGGTGACAATCGGTACCATAATAAAAGAGAAATCACAGAAGACAACCAAACGAATTTAATGTTTTCACAAGGCAAACTTTCTGAGGCTAAATAGTTTTATATCCGATCGTTACTCCTGCAACGTAATGGCGGATGCCATACGTATTTTTTATACCGCACTCGATGTACTATCCGTCTATCTCTAACAAACCTCCTTGGTTTAGTAAATAGTTGACAGACACTTTATTCAAAATTTAATATAATAATCACTACTACAAAACACAATTCAATCAAGAAAGAACGCTATAGTCGAGTTCCGAATACTAGTGGAAGTGTGAAGGAGAAATTTTCACATTTGTCCGGCATATTATTGAAATGGAAAAAAATTTGTAAATGCTTCAAAAATCGGATTTAAAGATCGGTCAATGGTACGGTTCCCCTAGTATAATTGTTTACATTTGACTCGTAGAGTATTCGGGAATGGAAAAAAGTAAAAAGTAGCTTTAACACCCAGAATTTTTAAAAATGTTGATGCTAATTTCACAATATCACTTGTTTCCATTTCCATCAACAAGACAAAACAATTTCGAAATATCTGCCTTGCGAGAAATGTGTCTATATGGTCAGATGGTCTAGAACCTCGATTGCCTTAGCAAGCAGCAAAACGTTTCTGTTGTGACCTGGATTCAATGCAATTAAAGCCTGAGATAAAATTAATGTGAAACTTTTAAAGTTTTTTTTTACACCTTGAAACAAATATCATTGATCTTATAAGAAGTAGCTAGCCATGTATATTAGTCAAAACTACCATAATTTATAAATTAGTTAAATATGCATTGCCTGAGACGAAACAGTAAATACAAACAAAACTTTTAATAAACTTTATACAATTTATATACAATCCCAAACCAATTTAATGGATATTGTATAACATGAACCTATCTTTACTCTTAAAATAATTATTTAATCGTATTGTTTGGTGAAGATAAATATACATTTTTACTCACGATTGATTGCTCTAAAGCAAAAACATAATGGTTAAAAAATTTGTGAAGCTTTTCATTGGTATAGTTAATGCATAGCTGCTCAAATGAGTTATGAGAAAAATTTTCGAATCCAAATATATCGAGAACTCCAAGAAATTTAGCGCCATCTTGTCCTGGATTTGTGCAGTTATTTATTTTCGAAACCAGCCATGTAAACGTTTTTGAGTACAATGCTTTTGCCAAAGCATGTCGATTTTCTATAGCCTAAAAATAAATGTATTTATTAAGAGATTTATTAATAAAGGTATTTCTGGAATATACCTGCAAAGGGTTCGAAGAAAATGAAATTAACTAAAAATATTTATAACAGCTATATCTTTATATAGTATATATACTCCTTATATCAATGTATATCAATATAAATTTCATTATTCAGCCGACACTATTCTTCTGTTCATAAATTCTTAAATGATTCATGAAGATTCATGAAACTTCTACCTGATGCCTTCCCATTGTCAATTTTTCAGTAAAAAGCACAGGAGGAAATAAGTAATAAACTAGTAATTCGCGACCCAACTATTATTAAAAGATGGAAATAGTGGCAGCAAATGACTCAAATTCGGAATCGGATTAGCTTAAAAAAAACAAAACATAGTTTTCTGTAAAGAAAATGAATAATAATGAATAATATTCTTTATTAAATATCTTTAATGTAAATAAGCCATATAAGCTATTCGGCATATATGAGCCTCTTTGCTCTTTTAAGTCCAACAATAACATTGGGCTTAATCTTGACGCCGTGCGACGCCTATATTCTCGAGCTCGTAGATAGGATATCTTTTCTTTGGTTTATATGAAGATCGACTATAATATGCAACTGGTTTCAGCTGATCCCTCAAATGGTGCACCAATAGTTCTGATATAGTAATAGCACTGGCATTCGTGTGTAGTTTGTGCCCTGCATCTAGACAGGGATGAGGCAATCCTTCAACTCGATAAAAACATCCAGCACACGAACTTGTAATTGGATTGGTGCCAAAATACACACCGTTAAAGGTTACGGTGAAAGGATAGGTGAGCGTGAGGAAAAATGAGAACTGACGATCGGTACGAAAAGCAACTGTTTAAAATCGTTTATGCGCCAAACTAAAGGTGGCTTGAAAGGACTGATAAGCAGTTTTGGAGTGGCTAAAGTTAGTTCGCGTCGAGCTGATGATCTTCTTTTCGCGCTAGATTCGCAGTTTAATAGCCTTATGCTATTAAAGGAATCGCTGCTGAAATCCGCAGCTAAAAAAAATTCGGAGCAATCCGATCAATCCTTTGTGGAGGGAGTGAAATTTGGAATTGATGGAGATTCCGATTTGTCTGCACTGGTTTCTAGTTTACCACGACAAAGGAATAGCCACGAAGCCACAAGTTGTCCGAAAAGCAACTGTTTTCAGGCATTTTAATATTTATATCTCGTTATGTTGGGGAGGTGCGAGACTCCCTAAAGTCCCACGACACAAATACATATTTTTCGATGAGCTCCTGTTTTTTTTTTTTTTTAGTCCACAGCCCAATGCATAACTCTACATTCTCAACTTGGGTCTGATATAGCCGACGACCAAGCTATAAACGCTGGAGTTCCCAAAGGCAGCGTACTTGAACCTATGCTGTGCTGTACGTCCTTTATACAGCAGACAAACCAACAAGCAGACTTCTTACGACTTCTACGTTTGCCGACGACAAAGTGATTTTAAGTCTATCCAAATGACCCGTCCAACCAACAAATCAATGCTTTTGTCACTTAGTGGCTGTGAAGAAGTTACTAGTCAGATAGTCAAAAAATAAACGAACAAAAATGTGAGCAATTGACAGTCACAAATTGGCAGACTGCCCCGATCACCTTAAAAAACAACGTACTCCCAAAACAAATGAAATTAGAGTGCACATCGACCGAAGGCTCACATGGTACAAACACATCGAAACCATCTTCAGCTTAAGGCTTGTAGCCTCGATTGGCCTATTAACTCTCGGTCATCTCTTTGTCTGGACTACAGGTTCTTACTCTATAATTCCCTATTAAAACCATCTGGACGTACGACAACCAACTATGGGAAAGTGCTAGCAGCAGTAATATAGACAACATTCAAAGGGCTCAATCAAAGATACTTAGAAGAATCACTTGAGCATTCTGGTATATCCAAAACGAAAATATGTATAGAGACCTGAACATAACACCCTTCAGAGAAGGGATAACTCAACAAAAACATAAGTACATAAGCAAATAAGGTTCACATCCTAACAACCTTGCGAGAAGTTTATCGCGGGTTTGTAACCAATCCCATCTTCACCGCAACGACCTTCCCACCCAACAATGATAACTATTATTTAAAAGACTATTAAGACTGGTGTATAATTAAGATTTGAAAAATTTCGTAAATTCTGAGAAGATTCAATAAATAAATACATTAAAAAAAATTGCGTTTTTGAAAATAACTTAGCTGTGCTCCTTTCAGTATCCATTCGTCGGTAAGTTTAATTTTCGTCCCAAAACTATTGTCGATCTTGGAGTTAATGTTCTGCAAATATGAAGCGCAATGAGGTACCCAAACATAAACTTCGGAAACGATCGTGAACTTTATTTCTAAAACACAAACACATTTCTAAAACCAATACCTCCAGCTCATTCTAATCGAATAACGTTTGTTCCTCTCCAAATCCATGTGCAAGCCGTTTCTATGTAACGTATCTATGTTTATAAGCACCGGTGCGTTTGAGCTCGAGTTTCTGTAAAACTGCAAAATTACTTTAAACTGCAACCTGTTTCGCACACATATCCGTAACATCTCTGCTCCTCGCTGATACTTCTACTTTCGTTCAGATGCAAAAACTTAGTCTTTTCAGTCTGGTTATTTTCATGACCATTTTGCCTAAAATATCAAAATAACTTCCAAAAATTAACACCTGACTTTCGTATATTCATGTCAAGCATTCTTCCTTTCCAGTGAATATTTCACTGCCTAGTGAAAAATGTTCCTGCGCAACAGGCATAGATCTGCGATTCTTTAAAACTTTTAATCAAGGGCTACAGTAACAATCGTAGTATCCTTAAGATCAAAACAATCTTACCAAATCAAACAACCATTTTCAAAATCTACGGTTGCAACCAATGTTAGTGCATCAAAGCAAACTACCTACATGCCATACAAATAAACCAGCATTAATACTTTTATTCAAAATGAAGAACTATTTGAAAGCAAATAAATTTATGAAGCTTATTGCTTAAGCTCCACTCAGTCAATGACCACACCCTTCCTGAGTATGATTGGCTAAGAGTATATTCCTTTCGAGACTATATTCCATTGCCAACTTGTAAAAGCAACAAAAAATCTGTCTATTTCATACAACATCTCTCATTCGCAAAAACTTTAAAATCTACTGCATCATTTACTACAAATCATTTTTTTTGGCACTCATTCTTCGTTTCTTGATCGGTAAGCATTGTTGTCGTCGAACTCAGCCAAATACCTATATTGTTGTCGCCGCTATTTTAAGCGCACACTCACAAGAAATAAAATGTATAACGTTTCCCAAATAAAGGCGGAGTTTTAATCGAAAAATTGCCAAAAAGCTGGCAGCGTAAACATTATTGACCCCGACGTGCAGTGGATTTGCAGTGGATTTAAACAAATTCTAATAAAAATAAAGGCATTTTCTGGCCTGAAGTGCAATAATAACAACAAGTCAGTGTTTATCGCCAACAGAATTAAGGTTTGCGGACAGACAATTGTTAAACAGACGTACTTTGCACGTACTTTGCCTCTTCTCTTTGCTTTTGACTGCGCATAACTTCGGAAAAACATACATACATCGGATGCCAATGTTTGCCAACCAATTAGATTTTTTTGCCCACGTCCAGTTTTGAGGATATGAAATTTCGAAAATCAAAAAGTTGACATTTCTGAATTTTTTTTAAATAGCAATAACTACGATTGCCCACCCTTTAGAATTTTGAAAAAACTTTTAGCTTAGAAAATACAAGCCCTTAAGGAATTATGTATTTTCCAAAAATGCATTAAATTAAAACTAAATATTTCAAACAAAATTTTTAGCTATGTAGCTTTTTAATCGTACAGCAAATTAAGGGTTAAGCATATGAAATTGTTGTTGCTTAGCATAGAGAACTAGGTAAGAATAAGCGGAATACACAATATTGTTTTTGTAATATGTACATATGTACGTATGTATGCATTGTCAATGCGGCACGTAACACATGTGCGTATGCATGTGTGTGTAGGCAGATCCTACAGCGTGTGAGTTGGCGTGTTGAGTTGGTTAGTTTTAATTAAAAATAATTTTTTTTAAGGATAAAAACAATTTTTAAAGGGTTTGCAAACGATTTTGATTGAAAATATTCAGTTTTAATCGGTGGAAAATGCATAATTCTTTAAGAGCTTATATTTTCTAAACTAAAAGTTTTTTCAAAATTCTAACGGGTGGACAAACAAAATTATTGCGATTAAAAAAAAAGTTAAAAAAAAACTTTTTGATTTTCGAAAATTTTTGAAATTTCATATCTTTAAAAGTGGACGTGGGCAAAAAAAACTAATTGGTTAGCAAACGATTCCAGCTTTCAAATTTCAAAATTTCGAATTTACCGAACCCAGCTTCTTTGAGCTTAATAACATGTCTCTTGCTGAAGTGCCTACCTTTTCATCGGTTTCTGATAAGATAGCGCGTCTTGAAGGCACAACCGAGGTTTATTTTGTCAGGCTTATGGTTATTGCCAGTTATTGTGGATAAAATTGGGTTAGTCCATTTGATTGATTTAGATGTACGCTTGCATCTGATTTTCCAAATTAAAACTGCATATGGACGGCATCAAGATTCGCTAGAAGCTCTCGATTTTAATGAAATCGGCAGCCAACCCCGAGATGAATTTGATGAAATGGCTTTACATTTTAAGTTTCGTTTGCGTGCTCATATTCAACAGCGTAGAGATGAACAAGCTACCAGCCCTATCTGGTCACAACATCTCTACATCTTATATCACGGCTAAACGTTCCTGCGTTCCAGAGCATCACACTCGGGCATGCACGAGCCGTGTGTGTTGAAATAAGCACCATACTAATACTCTTAACATTAATACTAATGGCAGTCAAACATTTGAATCTGGTAACTTCTCGTTTTGCGCAGCAGTTGCAGCTGGACGAGTCGTTTAGTCGCTCTAGTTTCCAACTGAAGGATTTATAGTCGTTATTTGCAATCTCAGACATCAAGCTATTCCACGTTGCTCACCGCACCCCATACATAGATGACTGGAATATTCCACCCAACATTCGGTTAGCGGATCCTGCTGCGACACTTACACCAGATTACCTGCAGGTGAATACTCTGTGCATTTGCCATTTAAGTCTAAGTCTACAAATTTAGGCGAGTCCTACGCGCACGCTCACCGTAGATTTTTAAATCTGGAGTACAAACTAGATCGGCAGCCGTCTCAGAGAACAATATTCGGCCTTTATTCATGAATATCTAAGCCTTAAACACATGTCTCTGGTTAACTCTGCGGATATTTCTTCGTGCAGGTATTTTCTACCGCATCATTGTATCTTAAAGGAGGATAGTCCAACGACTAAGCTTCGCGTGGTATTTGATGCATCAGCTTCGTCTGGCCAATCTCTCAATAAGGCGCTCCTAGCAGGACCTGTCATACAACTTCGGTTGTTTGACATTGAAATTGACACTGTTTGACATTTTAATGAAATTTCGATCATAAGCACTGGAGACATATGCTAAATATATCGGTGTGTCCGTATGATGGCTCCAGATAATTATTACCAATGAATCTTGTGGAGAGACTCTCCTAAGGAGGAGTCTGTGTTCAAGTTGGACACAGTCACTTATGGAACCAAGCCAGTTTCCTTCTTGTTAGTGCGGGCAAAGCATCAGCTTGCTCGAGATGAAGGCTCTATTTATCCATTGGCTCGACTGCTTTGCTAGAGGATTTCCACGTAGATGATTTTATTTCAGGTGGCAACTTAATTTCTGAGGTTATAAACAAAATGCAACAAACTTCAAAGACTCTGTCCTGTGCCAACTTTAAACTCCCCAAATTATGTTCATGTCATTCAGCTGTTATTGAAGGTGATGCTGAAGACGACAAGGAGCAGTTTCTGCAGTTTGATGACAGAGTGACATAACCAAGTTCGTTGGTCTTGCTTGTGATCCATCTACGGATAATTTATTATTTTCGTTTTTGTCTCTGCCTTAAACTAAAAAAACCTAGTAAGCGCTCTATCTTATCGAATATTGCTTATACTTACGACTTTCTGGGACTTATCGGACCTGCAGTTGCTAAATGCAAGATTTTCTTGCAGCAATTGTAGAAGGCTACACTGAACTGGGACGAAAGTCTTTCTTTAGAGTTGCAATCGACCTGGATGGACATTAGCAGCAATTTTGTGAATGTAAGCCGTTTAACCTTTCCCAGACTAGTACTACCCCAAATGATATCGTAGAAGTTCATGGATTCTGTGACGCCAGCTTGGAAGCGTACAGAGCTTGTGTACATTGTTTCTAAGTCCGAGGAGGCAACTAGTCATCTACTGTATTCGAAGTCTAGAGTAGCTCCCTTAAAAAGATTGACGGTACCGAAGCTGGGACTTTCGGGGGCTTTATTTTCTCAACTTATGATGCTTCGATGGGAAATATTTCTGCTGGAGTGATTCGTCCGTGGACTTGTCTTGGATCAGGAACCTTATAACTTTGGGATTCTTCGCCAACCGAGTGGCTCCTATTCAAAAATTAACAAGCGGCATGGAATGGCATTATATATCTTAACCCTGCTGATATTCTTTCCAGAGGTACAACTCCAAATTAAGTGATGCAATCTAAGCTTTGGTTTTATGGTCCGCCCTTTCTTACACAAGATTCAAAATACTAATAATAAAATAATAATAACTACAAAATAAAATAATTCGACCACAAATTGAGCTCCGAAGGAGAGTGCTACTAAGTAAATCCCCATATCCGGATACTACTATCAATTGTATGCTTATTAATTTATTCCCTGCCATGCAACGTCTCTAAATTTATTTCCCGTAATCGCCATCCTGGGCTTTGGGTTACCGATATTTTACACGGAACTAAAATTCTTATACGGCGCGTCCAGCATGAGCATATGTGGGACGAAATTAAGGAGTTGCAGTCTAAGGGAATTGTCAAAAATTGTGGATTGTGGAAAGCAGCAGTTAAGACGGCCAATCATCATCTGTATCGATGATTTGGAACACCGCTTCTCAGTTTTGAGGAGCTGTGTACCCTCATCTGTCAAGTTTCTGCAATCGTTAATTCTCGGCCTTTAGTTTCGATTTCAGATATCCCGGGCGACCTCGATTTTTTTTACTCCTACACACTTTCTTCTTTGCGGACCTGCTGAGACTCTTGTGGAGCCTGACTTGACTGCAGGGGCTGTTTTCGGCTCGTTGGCGTGAGGAATATCTAACCCTGCTTCAACAGCTCTCCAAATGACGCTAAGCAAGTCGACCTGATTATGATTTCTGAACAGCAAAATCGAATTCCGTAGATACTTAATACTAAACAAGGTTATTTATATGCCTATTATAATGTAAGACCGCAGCATCTCTCTCTCGGTTTTTCTATGCAGCGGCGGTTGTTTTTTTTTTTTGGCACTCACTCTTCGTTTCTTGATCGCTAATAATTGTTGTCGGCGAATTTTTTCGCAGCCAAAAACTTTTTTTTATTATCGCCGCTTTTCTTAGCACAAATTCACAAGAAATAAAATGTATAACGTTTCCAAAATTAAGGCATAGTTTAAAGTGGAAAATTAAGCTGCCAAAAAGGTGGCAGCGCAAACAGCATGTATTCAAATGCATTGGGAGGCTCAGCCATTTTAGTACACAAATCAGTCTCCCATTTGCAACACAAAATTAACTCAGACATTGAAAAGATTTGAGATGTTGGATTAACCTAACCACAAATTCAGAATGAACAACCTCCAAAACTTCCTTTCCCGAAAAACCTTACCCACACCCCTTAGGACCCACGAGTCCTAGGTGACTCGAATCGGTAACATTCTTTCTGGGAATACCCCAGGGCTAACAAAAGGCAACAAGTTATTAGATCGCTCAGACTGTATTCTCCCAAACGAAAATCTTCGACCACTAACCCACTACTACAACTAACAGCACCTTCACAAAAAGATTTTGTTCTTGCCTCTGCTGGAATAGCCCTAGAAACCACCTTCCCATTCTTATTTAAACATTACTCCTCCATCATAACCAAACTCCCCTTTAATCTTAAACAAGATAAAACGATATAGTCGAGTTCCCCGACTATGAGATACCCGTTACTCAGCTAGTGGAAGTGCAAACGAGAAATTTAAACATTATCTGGAGAAATTGGGGAAAAAATAATTAAATGAAAAAAACTTAAACATTTTTTTAAAGTGTGGGCATAAGACTTTTCTTTGGTTTGTCGGTGTTAGAGTGGGCGTGACAAAAAGGTTTTTTGAAAATCTAAGCAAATTTATAAGGATATATTTAAAAATTAAAATATAATATATCACAACATTTTTCAAAAGTGTGGGTGTGACAGTTTTGGGCGGTTTTTGGGCGTTAGAGGGGACGTGGCTACATTTGGAAACAAACTTGCGCTGCGTCTATGTCTCTGTCTCAACTCAAGTCGAATCCACCCGACGTGGAATTTATTTAATTTATTTAAAGAAACACTTCGGGAGCTGCGCATACAGTCTAATGCCCACAAACAACCCAAAACTATCACGCCCCTTTACGTCCACTCAATGAACAGATTATAAGAGAAAATAAATGTTGTCCCAAAAATTATGTTTACCGGATCAAACAAAAACTCTTCTTAATAAGAAAAAAAGTAGACACTATCAAGCCTTCAACACACAAACGAATTTTAAAATATCTTCTCATCACATCTATTAGCTAAGTAACGGGTATCAGATAGCCCACACAATCGTCAATAACGTTCGCTCCCGTTTTTATTGTTGCTTAAATATATAGATCGAACTGACTGTTGCGCCGTTTCAACATTATATTTTGCATGAGTTGCCAACATTCGACAGAATTATACTAATTTTAAACTAAAAACTCTTCTATGATACGTACCTCTTTAATTTTTAAAGGAATTTCCGTAATATTTCCTCGAACGTTTATTTGGCGAATTAATAAAACCTTTTTAAAATCACAGCGATTAAGTCCCAATAGGTTTGATATACTCGATATCGCTTCTTGGTCTGAACCTGAAAAATCGGTGACTTCTCCATCAACGTCCATAAACTCTATATTACCTAGCCACAAAATGGAACTGAGTACTTTAAAAACGCCATCTATAACAAATTGGGGAATTTGTAAAACCGTAAACGCCATGGTAACGGCATCAAACTTCTTTGACTCTAAGCTCATATTTATTTTTTCAGAATTGGATGTATTTAGATATTTGTAAAACTCAGGTGGCCTTAGATGAAAGGATTTTGCTATGCCAATATTTTTCTGCCCCTGAGCTACTAATTGATACATAATATGATAGTTCCGTTCCCCTTCACTTTGAAATGTTATCCGAGATTGTTCGAGCAGGTAATCTTGAATTACGCATCCTTTAATACAGTTGTAATCGTCAAAGCAAACTTGCATAAATTTGCCAAATCTAGAACTGTTGTCGTTTCTTGTTGTTTTGGCATTTCCTGTAAAGGGAAGTTAAACAAAAAATTTTATTTTAAATGTGGGAATAAAGGAAACGTTTCTGAGCCTATTAACTATTTAATTAGCGACATATTATTATGCATAACCTTATGTCACGATCCGGACCACTATATATAATATACATAATATACATAATATAGGTGTCATTTTAAATTAGACATAAAGAAAGCCACTAATAAATCCGATTGCGTAATGTAAAATTTCAATGTAATGAATACAAAACCTTTAGCGGAGGACAAAACAAACTAGCAAACTAACACTAACAGCACGTTACCTCACTTCATCCTTAAAATGTTCAAAGACAAGGTAGATAATTCAGGTGTTGACTTCAGCTTGAGATTCGGAGTTGAGCAAATCGCTGCTCTTCAATTATACGATTTATTCTCGTTATGGCGACCATCTCTGCATCTATACAAGGTCGAGAACAATGAGTTCTAGAAAAAGAAGACTAAGCATGATAATGCCAATCTCGCCGATACAAAACACAACAAAAAAAAACATATAATGCTATGGTAAAGTTCCCTGACTATCAAATACCCGTACTCATTTAGTGGAAGTGCGAAGGAGAAATTTCATAATTTTCTGGAATATTGGTAGAAATTGGAGAAAAAAAAATAAAATTAAAAAAAACTTAAAATTATTTGAAGTGTGGGGACCAGAAGAATTCAGTTTTTGGCGGTTTGTGGGAGCTGCTTCTTTGTCTCTGGAAGCTGTGTGCTTAATCTCAACATTCTTGCTTTTGTAGTTCCTGAGATCGAGGCATTCATACGTACAGACTGACAGACGGACGAACAGACGATCTTGCCAGATCGACTCGACTTTTAATCCTGACCAAGAATAAATGTACTTTACTTTACCATGCTCAATGACCAGTGTAACAAGAACTATTTAAACCGTTGGAGTCCTTTGTGATTCCTCTCCATAAAAAAGGTAACAAATTGGATGCAAGCAATTACAGAGGAATCTCTAAATTGTCGGCAATTCCTAAGCTTTTTAAAAATGTTATCATTCCTCATTTGCAACACCGTTGTAGGTAGAGCACGGTTTTATGAAACGCAGATCAACAATCACTAACCTTTTGGAACTTACTTCGGAAAACACACAATTTATAATCTTGGTGTTATTTTAGACCCTAAACACCAATTTTCAGACCATATTTCGTCTAATGTCAATTAGGCCAAGGGTGCGCTTGGATGACGACACCCGGAGCGCTCCTCGGTCGGTTGGGCGTACAAAAAAAAAAAAAATTTATTTCATACATATTAGAATCATAGGTATTGGAACATATAAATAAAGAAGAAAAAAAGAGATTGTGTGCATTCCTGCACCCGTTACTCAGCTATTAGAAGTGCGAACGAGAAATTTTATAATTTTCTGAACAAAAAATGCAAAAAAAAAATGTTATTAAAAAAAATTCAAATTTTTTCAAAAGTATGGGCGTGACAGTTTTGGGCGGTAAAGTGGGCGTGTCAAAAGTTCTTCGGCAAATCGATAGAAATTTACAAGACTAATAAAAAAGTGAAAAGATATCACATTATTTAAAAATGTGTACAAAAGACCTCAGCCCAATAAAGAGGGGGACAGAAGCGTCACAGTCTCTCGGAAACAGATTCCAAGTCTGAAAGAGATATAGTCCCTTGGAGGCAGAAGATTTTAAATCCAGAAGTAACACTGTCTTTCGGATCCAGAAGGTTTGACTCGCCAGGACCAGAAGAATTCATTGACCCAAGTGGGACAAGAAAACCCTGGACACGAATGGTATCTACGCATGTTATTTCCGCCGCATAAGGATAACCAGCTAAGCCCTCTAGCAGTCTCCACAAGGTGATTGCAAAAGGAAGCATGTCGAAGCAGAAAGACCAGTACTTTGAACCAGTCGAGGGAAAGTTCCAAGATGGATTCCATACTGCCAACGTGATCAACACTGTAGAGCTGACAAAACACAAGGACGATATCCTAGGCGTGCATCACACTCTTAATTTCATCGCCATCGTGTTGGTGCTCCTAGTGATCCTGAATCTGGTGAAAAACGTACTCAGGATCCCGTACCCGCAATAAATGCCAAACTTTGTTGCACGGGCATCCGACTTAATCGATTTAGCTTAGCTTCTGTTAACTCCTCCGTCAGCTAAGTGAAGAGCGTCCTCGGTTTTACTAGTGTTTGCTTGTAGGTTCTTGATGATCTCGCTTCGTTTCCGAAGTCAAATCATGACGGCTGGCAGTGTGACTCCGCCGCTCCATATAGGTCTGTAGGTCAACATGTATTGTAAATTCGTCAAACTCATCTAATAAAGAAGGGGCAAGCTCAAGTGCTCCCGATGCTTGGTCACTTTGATATGAGTGACTGCAGAAACCACCGGTTTTCTTCTAAAGACACCATAGTTGTTGGTGTAACGTGTTCCGTTAATCGTGATTTCGTCGTCAAAGTTTACCAGGTAGGTTCCGGAGATAGACGACGGTGAGCTCGAAGACCCTGAGATGTTTACAGCAGCATCGTGGATGATGATCTCGCCGTCGTCTATTACAACCAGCCTATCCAGATGGCCAGGGCGAGTTCTTCATTGCGCTAGTGTTCCAGATATTAGTTGCTGCGTTTTTTTGACAGAAGCTACTTATAATACATCTGTTATGTTAAAATTAGTGAAATGCTTAAATGTCATATCCTTAACATAAACGTTGTTTAACATTACTGGACTGATCAAGTTTATTTTTGAAAGTGTTAAAGCAAGGATTTAGTTCTGTAAGTCTGAGATAATCATTCTATTTTTTGCTAGAATTGTTTCGTATAGATGATCAGAGTCAATTTTATCTGTTTTGCTAATTGAGTTAACTATTTCGGTTAGTTCGTTGAGTCTTGTCTGAAATGTAGTGTTTAATTTGTCAGATAAACTGTTGCAGTCGTAAAGGTCGTCATTAAAAGCGCTGATGTTAGTATAAGATAAAAGAAAAAGTAAAAATTTTAATTCCTATTCTATTCTTATTTCCTAGTATTAGTAAATTCTTATTTTTTTATATTGTTTTTATGAGCCACCCCAAAAATTGGGTTTTTTGGTATGCCCTTGAGCAAATTGGCTGAATCACAGCAAACTTTGAGAATATTTCAATACACGTTTTTGCCCTGTTTTGCCCAACATCTGTTTTTGGGATGTCCGTCATACTTAGTCATTGAGCAGACTCTACAGCTCGCAACGATTTCTGTTGTTCATTTGGACATGTAAGGAAAAAAATAGTCAAGCATTATTTGCCTAACATTTTCCAGTGCCGCTCGGTGGGCTCGGGTTTGTTCCCATTTGTTCCGATTTAACTTGGATGTCAGTTACCAAATACGTTAAGTATCGAAATGTTGTTGACGGGAAAAGTTCGATCAGTGTGTGTTGTACAATATAAAAGCAAGGATCGGTAGTTCGCAATGGATCCATTCGCAATCCATTGACGACTCCTGAATTAACTACGTCTTCTGAAATAGCACGAAGGTTATAACAGATGAGGACCACTGGTTTGTCAGTGATCTCTATAGTGTAGGTCAGGTATTCTTCGCTATGGATTGTAAAAATGTCGAAACATTGCGAATCTGAGTCTAAGGCATTCACGTTTTGACGTGATAATGCATCGGCTACATAATATATTTATCTTTGCCGGGTTTGTAAATTATTTTTGCATTATGCTAGTCAATACAGGCTTTCCAGCGCTTTATTTTGCCATTGGGATTCTTATCGGACACAGCATATGTCAGCTTCTGATGATGATCTGTATAGATGTTACACCATACAAGTAATTTCTTAAATTTTGTAAAGCCCAAACAAAACTAGGAGCTCTGGCTCGTTTTTCCTCGTTATTCCGAAGTGCCCGAGAAATAAGTGCAATGGGACGACCTTCTTGGAATAGCACCGTTCCGATGCCATGCCCCGAGGCATCTGTTGTTAGGTCAAAGGGTTTTTTAAAATCCGGATATTTCAAAACGACATCTTTAGAGGTCAATATATCCCTTAGTTTTTCAAACGCTTCAGTTTCTTTCTACGTTAGTTCAATAATTACTTTCCTCGAGTGATAAGCACTTATTTTGCTATTTTCGCCCTTTAAGAATTTCGGGTCTGGTGATATTAGCGAATTCCTTGATAAAACATCTACAATAACTTGCTAACCCTATAAATGATCTAAGGTCGAAAAGGGTTCTCGGGAACCTTTCCACCTCTCCACCTTTTCTGGTGGAGTTTGAATTCTACCTCTGGACACAGTAAATCCCAGAAGATTTTTAAAATTCTTGGATTTTTCCTGAGACACTCTCATGTTAGCCTCTTCAAGGTTTTTTAAAACCTTGTTAATATGGTCCTCTTTTTTAAGTCTTTAACATAGACATGACAGGTTTTTCCTACCTTCTCGCGGAGGACATCATCAATAGCCCTCTGAAATATGCTCGGTGCATTTTTTAAACCGAACGGAAGTCTTTTTAAAGTCCGAACGGAAACTCATACTTCTCATTGTTTACAGAAAACGCGGGTTTTTTCTATCCCTTTCCGCCAGTTATATTTAATAGAAGCCTTACTTAAGGTCCAGTGTTTTAAAATACAGACCCTCACCCATGTTTGTCAATATTGAAGAAATATTAGGTATTGGGTGTTTATCACTAACGGTTTTTTGATTCAGTTTCCTGAAATCTATGACCATTCTTTTTTTTTATGACCGAATTCATCAACCCCTTTTTATCAACAAACCAAATAGGGTTATTATAGGACGATCTTGATGGTCGAATGATGTTGCTTTCTAGAAGTTGTTTGAACCTAAAAAGTTTAAAAATTACCTGGCTGCCTGGCCGAAAATCTTCAACCACTCTGGGAAACAAAGTCTGTTTATAATATAGAGCTATATATATGTATAATTCAACCTAATATCTACTAATAACCAGGGTCCAGGGGAATGTATGTATAATTTCACCTTAATATCTAGTAATACCCAGGGTTCAGAGCGTCGAGATCTCAACACC